CCATTTTATTTTTTAAGAAACAGCTTTTGCTCCATTTTCTATGTTTATAAGAGCGCTGCAAACCTTATGCTTGCACCACTCTTTGCAATTCCTCCCATTATATGTATTCATTTTAAAGCAGATTAATCTTCTTGCATCTCATTCATTTTTTTTTTTTTGCTAACATTGTTATATTTCCACACAGATCCCACCCCACCAAGCAGCATAGCCTTTACTATGATAGGAACTAAGAATTTCACCTTATCTTGGGGAGATCCAGTAAATATGACCGGAGTGGCGAAGTCATATAATATAACTTACTGGAATTCTTCTTCTCTCTTCCATCATTGCTGGAATTGTGACAAGCAACACAACTAATGTCACCCTTCAGAGCTTAATATCGGGAACCAATTACACCATCTCTGTGGTGACAGTCATACCCTGGGGGTATCAGAGCACGGCTGTAACTGGATCGGTCTGCACAAGTAAGTTTTTGCTCCTCTTAGTAATATGTTTATAAAGAAATATTGGTCAATTTTCCTGCGTGAGTTTGAAAATGAAAGAAGGACTGTCAGTATTTCAAAAAAACTCTTGTGAGTGCCCAGATTCTCAAATCCCTTTTATACACTATACAAAAGTTACCAAACAAAGATTTATGTCAGTACTGCCAAACAAAATAATAATAATAATATAATAACTCCACTTGGATGCTGGGAAAGTCATCGCCTGAAGCAAAGTTGAAGCTGATCTCTTGAGTCCCCCACAGTTCATATTAGTTATCCTGTTGGTCTCCAAGTCAGTACAGGAGAGAGCGGTACCATGGAGGTCAGTAGGAGAGACCAGGAAGAACTCTGCTTCAATGCTGGGAATTCATCCCTGAAGGTTTGATGGCAACATCACTTCCAGGAGTGTTGATCTCCTGGGTTTCTCGCAGTGCACACTGGTTTATCCTGCTGACCTTCACCCCATTACTAGAAGTCAGCTAAGAGCTACGGGGGATCCAGAAGATTGATATCACCAGACATGTTGGTTTCCCAGTAGATTTTAAATGTTGATTTCACAGTATCAGAGTGGTGCTCAATGGTGCAGGCAGTGGGAAAGGTATATATTTACAAATACTAGCGGTTACACCATACTTGTGCAAACATGTATATGGATCTACGCCATGGACTCAGTCTGTGTGGCATACACAGGAATACTCACAAAACGCTCTGCCAGCCCCTCCGACCTTCAATTTATAAAGTGACAAAAATTGTCAGTTAAAATTCTTTTGGCAGATTGCTTGTGCAGCTGATGGGGAGAAGAAACCATGTAAGACGTGACTAGGCATAACAGAATGTTAAGAGTAAAATTCATGTGGTGTCCCATGACTGGGGAGTCACAGGTGGGGTCTACAGCCTGCCAGAAGAAGTGGATGGCTGGACACCCCTGTACTCGTATAAATGCTGATGCTTCTCCTCATCAGGGGTTTACTTACCCATACAAATGAGGGAATGTCACATTCGGGAAATGATGTTGTACAGCCATACATGGGTAAATGGTAATGCAGAGCAGAATCAGAGTCTACACGAGTACAGAGGTGTAAGCCATTCATTTCTATCACCCCTTCTGTAGGATCACGATGCATTTTTTATGCCTAGTTACATTTGCTTGCAAACCGATTGCTTGTGGGGTGGATGGGGAGAAGACCACGTAAGAACTTTATCTGTCTAGACTTTAGCTTTGACGTTACAATATGATGTCAGCAATGTGAAACACAATCCTACAATGAGATTTTGTGTTTGGGAAGGGAAGGGGCAAAGACAAGAAGAGGTCTCCTTATCCACGTATCTTACCATTGCTATTAATAATATATAGAACTCTTCTCCTTAGCCATGTTTTTCTGTTGATCGTGATTTATTACATTGTAACTGCAATAACACACTCTGAATGTAACAATTGATTATAAATATGATTTTATCTCCTATCCACAGAACCGATATCTGTGACATCACCGCAGATTGCTGCCAAAACTACCAATTCTATGTCCCTGAACTGGACACAACCAAACGAGTATCAGAGCTCATACACCTACAGGGTGCAGACCAATGTAACCTCACCATCTACACTGATAAATACTACAATAGTGAGCAGTCCATCAGCTACAATAGGAAATCTGACAGCGGGAGAGACGTATACATTCACTGTATATACAATATCTGCCTGCAACATACAATCAGACCCCACATCTATAACTGACTGCACCCGTAAGTACTGCCAAACAGGAAAACTAAAACGTAAAAGCCTTGATAAGCCGTTGCCAGCAAAATGTTCTCTGCCTTGTTTATCAAAGTTTACACATGCATTTCTTGTTCATATTTCTAACATTCATATCAGCCAATCCAATCCTCCCCCTCATGATTGTCCCCTTCACTAGAGGTGTGAAATTTTGATTTTTTTTGCCACCAGTAACAAGAGCGGGCCTTGCTTCAGGCACATGGATTAAATCCACCAGTGGCTAAACAAAAAACATTTCTATAAATATGTGAACTATTTAGGAATTCAGTTTTTATATTGAATATTTTAAATATTTACTATTGTTATTATTAATAGTTATGAATTAATACGGATTATTCAAATGAAATACTAAAATATCACATGACTTCATAAACATAACTCATGCCGGATTGTAGTAAACTGAGCGGTATCATCCCAGATACTCAGATGCGGTAAATTGTTCGTGTTCGAAGTTCATTATCAAACATTCTGTAGGTTTTAATGTTCGACCACGAACAGAATAGGGGGTGTTTGGACCATCACCAATGAAGAATATAATTATGTTACCAGACGCGGACTGACAACTCATGGGGCCCCTGGGCAATAGGGGATCATGTTGCCACTGTGTCCTTTCCCAAAGTCAAAAAAAGCGCCAGGGGCATCTCATGGGGCCCCCTACTGACCCCGGGCCCTTGGGCAGTACCAAATGGTCAGTCCTCCCCTGTATGTTACTAAATAGACCGGCCTATAATCTTATATATAAGAACCTCCTTCATTTGCTGCAGAGCGATATACAGCTTCCAGAGACACAATTTCTCAAGGGAAAACCAAAGAGGGTGCAAAGCAGAAAGGCCACAGGGAAAAGCTCAGTCAGATATATTACTGGTCATGTAGGCAGTACCTAGGCCTGACATACATGATCATATCATCAATACATCCCTCCCAGGGGCGGACTGACCATTTGGAAACTTGGGCACTGCCCGAGGGCCCGGGGTCAGTAGGGGGCCCCATGAGATGCCCCTGGTACCTTTTTGATAGGCTTTTTTGAGTTTGGGCAAGGACACAGGGGCCCCATGATCCCCTATTGCCCGGGGGCCCTATGAGTTGTCAGTCCGCCCCTGATCCCTCCAACCAATGTTTGTAATGAGAGATGAGCGAAGTATTCAAAAATTCGATTCGACTGATTCGGCGAATTCGTGAAAAATATTCGATTCGAGTCGAATATATTCGCTGTGAATTTAACTTATAAAAGGGTGTTTCTAGGCTTCAGAGAGCCTTTATATTAGTGCAGAACACTGTACCTTTAATTTAAATGCCCTTGGAGTCTGCTGGGGAAGAGAAATAATACTGTCAGTCAGTATGACATGCAGATGAGTGCCGTCGATCTTAGAATCACCGCACACTTCACTCATTTGGGCAGTCACGGGGCCAAAACCAGAGTGTGGAGCCACAGTGTGGCGGTGGAGGCAGCAGCAATGGGAGGCCATACAGCACCCTATGACAAAATGGAACCCACCAGCAGTGTGAGGAGACCTGAAAGTGGCACATGGCAGAGTGTGTGGCGATGGAGACAGCAGCAATGGAGGCCGTACAGGGACCCACGCTGCTGGTGGAGCTGCCACTGCTCCCTACCACCCCACCCCTCCCCTGCTGCCATGGCAGCGGGAACGCTTTGAGCGCACAGGTCCCACAGTGTCTGAGGATGGACGTTGGCGCAGAAAGGCAGAGACCAACTGACTACATAGGTGGTTTTTTATAGTACGTAATTTTGGCCTCCCTCTCAGCAGGTGTGAAAAAGGCCACCATTTGGAACGGTAGCGAGGGTCCAACAAGGTGGACAGCCAAAAGTCATCCCTCTGTCTGATGGTTATTATTCGGCTGTCGCTACGCAAGCAAACCCGAGCATGCTATGGGCCATTTGTGCCAAGGAATGCGAGGGACTCCCTGCCTCCATCTCCACAGCATACTGCCACGGTGCGTCTGGGTCCTCTGTCTCCTCCTCCTCCTCCTCTACCAGATGCTCCTGCTCCTCCACTCCTGTCCGCTGAGTGGAAAAAAAAAACCACCCATTTCACTCAATAATTCCTGAGCACCAATGTCCTCCTCTACCTCCTCCTCTTCTTCCTGTCCTGCCCCCACAGGGGTCATGTGGCGTTGAGATCTGTGCGCCACGTCTACCGCACCCTGACCAGCCATTGTTAACAGCATTTGTTCCAGGACGTGCAACAGAGGAATGACGTCGTTCATCCCATAGTCCTGCCGACCTCACGAATAGCGTGGCCTCCTCAAAGGGCCCTGAGCAAGCGGCAAGTGTCACGCATGAGCTGCCAATGGCTGACATCGAAGTTACACAGGGGGAGTACCTTTATCCGCTTGTAACATCAGGAAATCGGTGATGGCCTTTCGCTGTTCGTAAAGGCGGTCTAACATGTGTAGGGTTGAATTCCACCTTGTTGCAACGTCGCAGATCAGGCGATGCTGTGGAATTCCACCTTGTTGCAACGTCACAGCATGAGGAGTCGGTACAGGGGCCCATGGCAGATTAGGGGCCTGGCCGCAGCAATGTGAGGCCCGTAATCTGCCAGCACCCTATGACAAAATGGAACCCCAGCAGCAGTGTGAGGACACCTGAAAGTGGCACATGGCAGAGTGTGGCGATGGAGACAGCAGCAATGGGAGGCCGTACAGGGACCCATGAGACACTGTGGACCTGGCAGCAGCGTGAGGAGGCGGTACAGGGGCCCATGGCAGATTAGGGGCCTGGCCACAGCAATGTGAGGCCCGTAATCTGCCAGCACCCTATGACAAAATGGAACCCAGCAGCAGTGTGAGGACACCTGAAAGTGGCACATGGCAGAGTGTGGCGATGGAGACAGTAGCAATGGGAGGCGGTACAGGGACCATGACACACTGTGGACCTGGCAGCAGCATGAGGAGGCGGTACAGGGGCCCATGGCAGATTAGGGGCCTGGCCAGCAGCAATGGGAGGCCCGTAATCTGCCAGCATCCTATCACAAAATGGAACACAGCAGCAGTGTGAGGAGACCTGAAAGTGGCACATGGCAGAGTGTGGCGATGGAGACAGCAGCAATGGGAGGCGGTACAGGGACCCATGAGACACTGTGGACCTGGCAGCAGCATGAGGAGGCGGTACAGGGGCCCATGGCAGATTAGGGGCCTGGCATGGCAGCAGCAATGGGAGGCCCGTAATCTGCCAGCACCCTATGACAAAATGGAACCCAGCAGGAGTGTGAGGAGACTGAAAGTGGCACATGGCCAGAGAGTGTGGCGATGGAGACAGCAGCAATGGGAGGGCCGTACAGGGACCCATGACACACTGTGGACCTGGCAGCAGCTGCGTGAGGAGGCGGTACAGGGGCCCATGGCAGATTAGGGGCCTGGCCGCAGCAATGGGAGGCCCATAATCTGCCAGCATCCTATCACCAAATGGAACACCAGCAGCAGTGTGAGGAGACCTGAAAGTGGCACATGGCATGACACACTGTGGACCTGGCAGCAGCATGAGGAGGCGGTACAGGGGCCCAGGGCAGATTAGGGGCCTGGCAGCAGCTATGGGAGACGCCCGTAATCTGCCAGCAACCTATGACAAAATGGAACCCAGCAGGAGTGTGAGGAGACCTGAAAGTGGCACATGGCAGAGTGTGGAGATGGAGACAGCAGCAATGGGAGGCGGTACAGGGACCATGAGACACTGTGGACCTGGCAGCAGCATGAGGAGGCGGGTACAGGGGCCCATGGCAGATTAGGGACCTGGCAGCAGCTATGGGAGGCCTGTAATCTGCCAGCATCCTATGACAAAATGGAACCCCAGCAGCAGTGTGTGAGGAGACCTGAAAGTGGCACATGGCAGAGTGTGGCGATGGAGACAGCAGCAATGGGAGGCGGTACAGGGACCCATGAGAGACACTGTGGACCCTGGCAGCAGCATGAGGAGGCGGTACAGGGGCCCATGGCAGATTAGGGGCCTGGCAGCAGCTATGGGAGACGCCCGTAATCTGCCAGCAACCTATGACAAAATGGAACCCAGCAGGAGTGTGAGGAGACCTGAAAGTGGCACATGGCAGAGTGTGGCGATGGAGACAGCAGCAATGGGAGGCCGTACAGGGACCCATGAGACACTGTGGACCTGGCAGCAGCATGAGGAGGCGGTACAGGGGCCCATGGCAGATTAGGGGCCTGGCAGCAGCTATGGGAGGCCTGTAATCTGCCAGCATCCTATGACAAAATGGAACCCAGCAGGAGTGTGAGGAGACCTGAAAGTGGCACATGGCATGACACACTGTGGACCTGGCAGCAGCATGAGGAGGCGGGGCGGTACAGGGGCCCAGGGCAGATTAGGGGCCTGGCAGCAGCAATGGGAGAGGCCCGTAATCTGACAGCAACCTATGACAAAATGGAACCCAGCAGCAGTGTGAGGAGACCTGAAAGTGGCACATGGCAGAGTGTGGCGATGGAGACAGCAGCAATGGGAGGCCGTACAGGGACCCATGAGACACTGTGGACCTGGCAGCAGCATGAGGAGGCGGTACAGGGGCCCATGGCAGATTAGGGGCCTGGCAGCAGCTATGGGAGGCCTGTAATCTGCCAGCATCCTATGACAAAATGGAACCCAGCAGGAGTGTGAGGGAGACCTGAAAGTGGCACATGGCATGGCATGACACACTGTGGACCTGGCAGCAGCATGAGGAGGCGGTACAGGGGCCCAGGGCAGATTAGGGGCCTGGCAGCAGCAATGGGAGGCCCGTAATCTGCCAGCAAACCTATGACAAAATGGAACCAGCAGATGTGTGAGGAGACCTGAAAGTGGCACATGGCAGAGTGTGGCGATGGAGACAGCAGCAATGGGAGGCCCGTACAGGGACCCATGAGATGACTCTGGACCTGGCAGCAGCATGAGAGGAGGCGGTACAGGGGCCCATGGCAGATTAGGGGCCTGGCAGCAGCTATGGGAGGCCCGTAATCTGCCAGCATCCTATGAAAAAATGGAAACCCACCAGCAGGAGTGTGAGGAGACCTGAAAGTGGCACATGGCAGAGTGTGTGGCGATGGAGACAGCAGCAATGGGAGGGCGGGGGCTGGTACAGGGACCCATGAGACACTGTGGACCTGCAGCAGCAGCATGAGGAGGCGGTACAGGGGCCCATGGCAGATTAGGGGCCTGGCAGCAGCAATGGGAGACGCCCGTAATCTGCCAGCAACCTATGACAAAATGGAACCCAGCAGGAGTGTGAGGAGACCTGAAAGTGGCACATGGCAGAGTGTGGCGATGAGAGACAGCAGCAATGGGAGGCCGTACAGGGACCCATGAGACACTGTGGACCTGGCAGCAGCATGAGGAGGCGGTACAGGGGCCCATGGCAGATTAGGGGCCTGGCAGCAGCTATGGGAGGCCGTAATCTGCCAGCATCCTATGACAAAATGGAACCCAGCAGGAGTGTGAGGAGACCTGAAAGTGGCATGGCATGGCATGGAACACACTGTGGACCTGGGCAGCACCTGCAGGCTGAGGAGGCGGTACAGGGGCCCAGGGCAGATTACGGGGCCTGGCAGCAGCAATGGGAGACGCCCGTAATCTGACAGCAACTCCTATGACAAAATGGAACCCAGCAGGAGTGTGAGGAGACCTGAAAGTGGCACATGGCAGAGTGTGGCGATGGAGACAGCAGCAATGGGAGGCCGTACAGGGACCCATGAGACACTGTGGACCTGGCAGCAGCATGAGGAGGCCTGTACAGGGGCCCATGGCAGATTAGGGGCCTGGCAGCAGCTATGGGAGGCCCGTAATCTGCCAGCACCCTATGACAAAATGGAAACAGCAAGCAGTGTGAGGAGACCTGAAAGTGGCACATGGCAGCAGTGTGAGGAGACATGCACCCAAAAGTGGCACATGGACCCATGACACACTGTGGACCTGGCAGCAGCATGAGGAGGCGGGTACAGGGGCCCAGGGCATGGCAGATTAGGGGCCTGGCAGCAGCAATGGGAGACGCCCGTAATCTGCCAGCAACCTATGACAAAATGGAACCCAGCAGCAGTGTGAGGAGAGAACTGAAAGTGGCACATGGCAGAGTGTGGCGATGGAGACAGCAGCAATGGGAGGCCGTACAGGGACCCATGAGACACTGTGGACCTGGCAGCAGCATGAGGAGGCGCGGTACAGGGGCCCATGGCAGATTAGGGGCCTGGCAGCAGCAATGGGAGGCCCGTAATCTGCCAGCACCCTATGACAAAATGGAACCCACCAGCAGGAGTGTGAGGAGACCTGAAAGTGGCACATGGCAGAGTGTGGCGATGGAGACAGCAGGCAATGGGAGGCGGTACAGGGACCCATGAGACACTGTGGACCTGGCAGCAGCATGAGGAGGCGGTACAGGGGCCCATGGCAGATTAGGGGCCTGGCAGCAGCTATGGGAGGCCCGTAATCTGCCAGCCATCCTATGACAAAATGGAACCCAGCAGGAGAGTGTGAGGAGACCTGAAAGTGGCACATGGCAGAGTGTGGCGATGGAGACAGCAGCAATGGGAGCCGTACAGGGACCCATGACACACTGTGGGGACCTGGCAGCAGCATGAGGAGGCGGTACAGGGGCCCATGGCAGATTAGGGGCCTGGAGCAGCAATGGGAGGCCCATAATCTGCCAGCATCCTATGACAAAATGGAACACAGCAGCTGAAAGTGTGAGTGTGGCGATGAGAAGCAGCAATGGACCGTACAGGGACCCATGAGAACACTGTGGACCTGGCAGCAGCATGAGGAGGCGGTACAGGGGCCCATGGCAGATTAGGGGCCTGGCAGCAGCTATGGGAGGCCCGTAATCTGCCAGCACCCTATGACAAAATGGAACCCAGCAGCAGTGTGAGGAGACCTGAAAGTGGCACATGGCAGAGTGTGGCGGATGGAGACAGCAGCAATGGGAGGCCGTACAGGGGACCCCATGAGACACTGTGACCTGGCAGCAGCATGAGGAGGCGGTACAGGGGCCCATGCAGATTACAGGCCTGGCTGTGAGCAGCAATGGGAGGCCCGTAATCTGCCAGCACCCTATGACAAAATGGACAGCACCAGCAGTGTGAGGAGACCTGAAAGTGGCACATGGCAGAGTGTGGCGATGGAGACAGCAGCAATGGGAGGCCGTACAGGGACCCATGAGACACTGTGGACCTGGCAGCAGCATGAGGAGGCAGGGGTACGGGGGCCCATGGCAGATTTAGGGGCCTGGCAGCAGCAATGGGAGGCCCGTAATCTGCCAGCACCCCTATGACAAAATGGAACCCTGCAGCAGTGAGAGAGAGACCTGAAGTGTGGCACAGTGGCATAGGGGCATGATTCATGGCGGATTTAGTCAGTTGTGTCAGGAACTGGTGGTTTGAAAATCCAGACTAATCCACGCCTGATTCATTTTCAAAACGTGAGTCTCTCCACACTTTGGGTGGACAGTCGTGTCCTCCGCGGAGTTACAATACCTCCTGCCGCACTAAACACGCGCTCCGATGCCACGCTACTGGCCGGGCATGACAGCCTTTCAAGGGCAAATTCAGCTAGTTGGGGCCAAAGGTCAAGTTTCGTTGCCCCAGTAGTCAAGGGGATTGTTACCTCGGTTGGCAGGGTGCTGTCCAAGTAGGCCCAAGCCTGTTGTTTGAGCTCATGCTCCAGGGTCCACACTGTGCTGGCTGCTTGCTGCTGCGGCTGGTTAGTTAGTTTCCTCACTGCGCTGGTGAAGAAAGCTACTCATCATCGACTGCAGACTGAGGCAGCCGCTGCTGGTGGAGCTGCCACTGATTGCTCCTACACACCCCACCCCTCCCCTGCTGCCATGGCAGCGGGAACGCGAGCGCACAGGGCCCACAGTGTCTGAGGATGGACTGTTGGCGCACAAAGGCAGAGACCAACTGACTACATAGGTGGTTTTTATAGTACGTAATTTTGGCCTCCCTCTCAGCAGGTGTGAAAAAGGCCACCATTTTGGAACGGTAGCGAGGGTCCAACAAGGTGGACAGCCAAAAGTCATCCCTCTGTCTGATGGTTATTATTCAGGCTGTCCGCTACGCAAGCAATTTGACCGAGCAAATGGCTATGGGCCATTTGTGCCAAGGATATGCGAGGGACTCCCTCCCTGCCTCCATCTCCACAGCATACTGCCACGGTGCGTCTGGGCCCTCTGTCAATCCTCCTCCTCCTCCTCTACCCAGATGCTCCTGCTCCTCCACTCCTGTCCGCTGAGTGGAAAAATGGAACCACCCATTTCACTCAATAATTCCTGAGCACAAATGTCCTCCTCTACCTCCTCCTCTTCTTCCTGTCCTGCCCATTCACAGGGGTCATTTGTGGCGTTGAGATCTGTGGCCACGTCGTACGACCTGACCAGCCATTGTTTAACAGCATTTGTTCTGGACGTGCAACAGAGGGGACGTCGTTCATCCCATAGTCTGCCCGACTCACCGAATAGGTGGCCCTCCTCAAAGGGCCCTGGAGCAAATGCGGCAGGTGTCACGCATGATCTGCCAATGGCATCCTGACATCAACGAGTTACAACCCAGCAGGGGGAGTACCTTTATATCATCCGCTTGTAAACATCAGGAAATCCGGTGATGGACCATTTCGCTGTCGTGGCGGTCATAACATGTGTAGGGTTGAATTTGGGACGCCTTGTTGCAAGACGTCGCAGAGATCAGGCGATGACCTGTGGAATTCCGTTGTGGCCTGCTGGGCAGCTCACAGGGAGGGTGTGTTTGCGGTGTAGGGAATGGCTATACATGAAATGCATGCAAAGTTTACATGACATTTTAGGATGTCTTGCAGTGGGATGGTGGATTTTAGGAACCGTCCGCTTTGTACCAGATTTTGAACACAGTGAGCCATGCATGGCGCTGGGCACAAATAACCTTCATTGACGCAGAGCAGGAGACACCATGTTACTTTCCGTTGTCGGTCAACATGGTTCCGATTTTCAGGTTTGCGCTTGTCGGAGACAGCCATCTGTCGATTTCTCTGTGGATGCACTCAGAAGTTCCTCCTGTGTGACTACGTACGCCTGTGCGCATACCAGGTGCAGCACATGAGTGACACGTTGCGCCCTGCACATGTGATGATGGCGGGTCGGGGTAATGGGACTTGGCGTACGGGGGTGGCGGCTGGGGAGATTACAGGGCGCGAAGAAGATGGTGGTAGAGGCGGCCCAAATGCTTCTGTTGGACCAAGGACGTGACAAACGTGGGTGGAGGTAGGAGCAAAAGTTTGGTCGTGACTGGATGTCCCCAAGTTGCTGGCGGCTGTGGCAAATCCATCGTTCACCAGCGCGACCAGTCACCAGTGGGCCGTAAAATGACATGTACATGTCTCCTGACCGTAGTTACAGAACTCCACACGTCTCGGCGCTGCCGTGCACTTTGGCAGAGACCGACATCGCTCAAGACTGGACCCACCAGACTCTTCTACATGTGAATGCAGGGTGGCACTGCCTTTTTGGCGAAGAAATGACGGCTTGGCCACTCTCCACCGCGGCGCCGGCCAACAAGCGGGCACCCTTTCTTTGACGACGATGTGGAAGATATTGTGATGCGACGATGGCTGCCAAGTGCGATCAGCCTCATCATCATCTCAATTAGGGTCTCCGCCTCACTACTAGCCCCTCGGCTGAGTCCTGGCGTGTGGGTCAGGAGACAGACCTGTCTCTAAGAGCCGGCTACGAAGCCACTCTCCTCGCCAGTACTTCTTCGCCTGGCTGCTTCTGAAGAGGCGGAAGGATGTCTCCCCCGTTCCTGCGACGCCCTCTGTTAGCTCTTCCTCACTGTACAGTGGGGCTGAGGAAGCCCACAGCATTGCGATACTTCGCTTGGTTTGTGATTTTGGGAACACCAAAGGACAGGGGCAGGTAGAGGACACGTGATTTCAGTGGGCTTGCTCCCGGGGCCATGCCAACTAACGGTTGTGTCTGACGTACAAGCCGCCGACCGTTGGCTGTAGGTGTCAGAGGTGACCTGGGAAGAGAGGAAGACGACCGAGCCAACCAATCCGATGACGGCTAGAGGGTTGTCGGTTGGAGACACGACGCTGGATGACACCGGGAAGCACTGGCTCTGGCTATGCTCGACTAGTGCTATGCTGCTCGACCCTCTTCCTACTGCTGCCACGTCTGCTCGCTCCTAAATACATTGCCTCCTCTGCACACTCCTCTGCGTGTTGTCTGACATACTCTATTATATTCAACGATTTATGTGTCTCCTGAGTAAACTAATTCTGTGTCCCTGAGTAACAATTCTGTGTCGCTGTGTAACAATTCTGTTGTTACCTCTAGAAACACTCTGTGTCCCTCAGTATAACAATTTCTGTGTCCCTCAGTAAACAATTTGTGTACTCAGTAAACACAATTTGTGTCTGTCCCCTGTGTAACAATTCTGTTTCTGTCCTGAGTAACCAAATTCTGTGACCCCTCAGTAACATATCTGTGTCCCTGAGTAACAATTCTGTGTCCCTCAGTAACATTTCTGTGTACGCAGTACAATTCTGTTGTCTGATCCCTGAGTACACAATTCTGTGTCCGCTGCAGTAACAATTCTGTGTCCCTGAGTAACAATTCTGTGGTCCGCTGAGTAACAATTCTGTGTCCTCAGTAATTCTGGTGGTCCTGAGTAACATCTGAGTCCCTCTAGTACAATTCTGTGTCCCTCAGTAACAATTCTGTGTCCTCAGTAACAATTCTGTGCCCTCAGGAACAATTCTCAGTAACAATTCCATGTGTCTGTACCTAAGAAACAATTCTGTGTCTTCTGTCCTCTGTAGTAAACAATTCTGTGTCTGTCCCTGAGTAACAATTCTGTGTCCCTGAGTAACATATTCTTGTGTCCTCTGAGTAACAATTCTGTGTCCTGAGTACAATTGTGTCCCTGAGTAAACCAATTCTGTGTCCTCAGTAACAATATGTGTCCTAAAGTAACAATTCTGTGTCCCCCCAGTAAAAATTTATGGGTCTGCCCGGGGAGAAAAACAATTCTGTGCCCCTTTAAAGTAACAATTCTGTGTCCCTGAGTAACAATTGAAACCCGGGTTAAAAAAATTTCTGTGTCCCTCAGTAACAATTCTGGGGTCTGCCCCTGGTAATAATTCGGGTCCCCCCCAGTAACATTCCCTTGTTTTCCCTCAGTAACAATTCTGTGTCTGTCCCGGGAGAAAAACTTTTTTGTGCCCCTGAGTAAAAAATTCTGTGTCCCTCATTTAAAAATTCTGTGTCCCTCAGAAAACCAATTCGGTGTTTTTCCAAAGTAAAACAATTCTGTGTCCCTCAGTAAAAATTTCTGTGCCCCTTTCCAGTAACAATTCTGGGTCATGTCCCTGAGTAACAATTCTGTGTCCCTGAGTAAAAATTCTGTTTTTCCCCATTTAATACAATTTGTGTCCCTCAGAAACCCAATTCTGTGTCATCAGTAAAAAATTATGTGTCTTTTTCCCTGGGAGTAAAAAAATTCTGGGTCCCGGGGAAAAGTAAAAAATTTTCTGGGGCCTGAGTAAAAATTTGTACCCCTGAGAAAAAACAATTCTGTGTCCCCCCGGGTAAAATTCTGTGTCTGTCCTGAGTAAAACAATTCTTTTGCCCCTCATTTAAAAAAAATTTCGGGTGTCCCTCGGGAAAACCAATTCGGGTGTCGCCCTTTGAGAAACCCAATTCTGTGTCCCTAAAGTAACAATTCTGTGTCCCCCCGGTAAAAATTATGGGGCCCTCAGAAAACAATTCTGTGTCGGCCCCTGAGTAACAATTCGGGGTTTTCCCTGGTAACAATTGTGTCCCTGAGAAACCCAAAAGGGGGCCCTTTGAGAAAACATTTCTGGGGTCTGTCCAAAAAGAAACAATTCTGTGTCCGGGATTTAAAAATTCGGTGTCCTCAG